ATATTTCAAATTGCGGATTTGCTCTATTTGCCATAGAAAATATTAACTTCAACTTCTGGGTACGAGCGAGCTCACCAACAAAACAAAAATGAGTCTATTTCAGTGCCATATATTTGTTGTACAAATCATATTTCACATTTTTTTTGCAATTGCTGTCGTGAAAACACCAGCTATCTTCCGCTAACAACATACGGATTTCATGAAGTGATCCAACAGTACACTACAGATAGGTAACTTTTGGTTTACTCCAATGGGTTATATGGTCTAAAAATGTATACAGGGTAATCTTGCTAAAAATTATTATATACATATGTAGGTATGTAAATATGTTCTGCGTGTATTTTAGAGTAATTTTCAAAAGCAAGAATTAGCAGTCACACGTGCATGCCGATGCCGGTGCCTTGAATATTGACTTCGTTTTAGTTGTGGAATAAACAATTGTAAACAAGAAATTATTCTGTTGATTTTGATCTTTCGCGCAATTACATACATACATATTTACTTTATGGCAAACATAAACTAATACATACTCAAACGTATGCATATATGTAGGTATATACCTACATATGTATATACACATTTGCATATGCATAAAAAACGAAATGCGAAGTTGGAAGGCATACAAATATCGTTTATTAGGCGTAAAAAATATTTTACAAAAACAAAATTTTGAGCTGTCATGTCGAAGTCTTTATACCTTTCACAATGATATCAAATTTATGGTATTTCATTTTAGTATTCAATATTAATTCTCATATCTGAACGAATCGATTGTATGGGAGCTATGTATATAATATAGTACACCGATGTCGTGTACAGGCCTATTCTGTCGAGGTAACAAAATTTACCTAGGTATTAAAATTTACCATTCATATTAATATTTTGTTACCATTTCGTATTCTGAGCTCACAATTACCCTGTAAATTTTGTTACCAGCGAAATAGGCGGTAACAAAAATATCTGATGTTTGATTTTGTATTGGAAGTTTGAGAAAAAATAAAAAACCAAAATGGGTAGGCGTATTTTAGTCCTGGAATTCATTTTAGATGAAGAAAAAAGTGCAAAAAGCCGTATTTTAAGAAGTTTCCGAGACTAAAAAATAGCCCTTTAATTTGTAAGGTAACGTTTTCATTCAGCTTTTTTTGTTGTCCAGGCATATTTTCCAAAATTAGGTTCAAATATCTGTGATTTAATAAACAAATTAATAAAACTTTTTAATTTTTTTGTGCACCGTCTTCCATTTCGATGTGAATATTTTTCTTTTTACTTTATCAACTGGCAAATGTAATTTGGCATGGACGAAAAAAGCAGTGCTGCCAAATTTGTTACAAACATTGTAACCAGTTCGCCAGAATACCAAATTCAATTTCGGGTGTTAAAAAAAAGTAACAAAACTTACTTTACCGGTAACAGTGAGAATAGGATTGTTAGTGTCAATGTTTGTTTGAAGATACGAGTGTTCAATTGCAAGCTTCGTGCGGTAGAAGCATTTTGCCGAAGATACGAGAGGCGGCTTATAAAGTCGAGAAATAAGGTAGTCAGAGATGACACATCTTATCGTTACTAATAATACCAATACCCATGATTGGTATGAATAACACAACATTTTTTTATTAGGTTTATTAACATTTCGTTCCTGAAACAAGCAACAACACTATGTCAACGGAAGCTACAAATTAACGCAATTTGGAGTATCGCGTTGTGATTAAATTCCCTGTAAAAAGACTATGGGGAAAGAAATGTGTGAAAGTGATGTCATCGGTTCTTTAGTACACTGCCGCTACGGCTGTTTCAACAACGAAAGAATACTTGGAACAATGACCCTCACCCGGAGCGCACATTACGATCGTGATCAAAGAAAATGTTCAGAAAGTCGAAAAATGAGTACTGGCTGATTGAAGAATTAAATTGTGGTATATAGCAGAAGGATTACAAATTAGCAAAGAACAACCTGGAGAGAATTCGCAAAGCATTTGAGTATGAAAAATATTTGTGCGTATTGTAATGATTTTTTGGAGTTGAGCCAAGATTGTTGGGATGGAATTTGCAACCGCATTGTAACATTTGATGAAACTTGGATTCCTCAGTAAGACCTCGAGTCCAAACAGGAGTCGATGCAGTGGATAAAAAAGGGCAAAAGCCACCGAAAAAAAATTCATAGTGGAAAAGTAGGCGTCGAAGAGCTAACATTTTCTGGGCTAACGAGGGAATTTTATTAATTGATTACTTGTCAAAAGGAACTACATTAAACTGCCAGTTTTAAGCCAATTTGTTGAGTCGAGCGCGTGAGGGCAAGGTTAATATAATATATTTAATACTAGCAGACCCGGCCACACGCCGTTGTAGCTTTCTATATTTTGTAAAATTTTTATTCTAATTGATATTGCAAAGAATGACAAAGCCCCCTTATCAAGCATCATATAATACAAAATAATAAGTTTTATTTTATTATATTCCTCGCTACTCAAAGGCCGTCACGGTAATTGCAATCGGATCTGCGCTTGAACGTATACGAATAGCTTGTAACCCCTAGCCGCGGAATAATAACATTGCGCAGCGAACATACCATCACACAATCTATGCTTGGCATAAAAAAAATTTTACCAAAAACTGGAAAAAAAGTTATTTATTTAAAATCTAAAAATAGGGGTCGGTGATGGAAGGGTGAAAATTTATATATATTTTCTAATGTCACATCATAAAAATATAAAATTAAAATTTAAAAAAACAACTTTGTCCAAAAAATCAAAAAAAAAATTTTGGGTGGTCTAACCTTATCACTTATAGATGTTCTCCGACCTACTGAATATGCACATAAAATTTCACTAAAATCGGTCAAGCCGGTCACTGTGACACGAGAATTTCATTAGTTTTTTTTCTTAATAATTCAATATTTAGACCATTCATTTAAGTAATAACTATCCTATCATCTAAGTTGAATCAAATTACATATATATATGTTAACTTACATGAATATCAGCTTATATATGTATTAAGATCTCATGCACATGAAGGGTATAAAAACCAGCGTCTATCGTCAAGCGCCACTACAATTGCTGTACGACAAAAAAAAAGATGGTTTCTGAAAAGCAAATAAAAAAGGATTCTTGGAATTCATTAAAGGTCTGCCGCTCTGTGAAAGATTTAAATGAATAACTCAAGGTTAAACGAAACGCCCATAAATTTAACATAAACTCGCAAAATTTTTCAGTTCATAATTTTGTTGGTGGCTTTTATGCTGCAGATGAGGGAAAATGCTATATTTTAGAATTGTGTGTACGTTTAAAAATACATAAATACATATGTAACACAGATGTACAATAGATGTGATGATCTGCACATACATATAATACATACATACATACATACTTACGAGTATGTGTGTATATGAAATAAATATATAGCAAAAAACTCTCGAAAGCGATGTTCTATCCTCCAAAATATAAACCTCTTCTGTTTGTATGGGATGCAAGAAGTTTTTGATCTCAGCCCCGTAAAGGCAGAACTCTTCAGAAGAAAGTACTTAAACGAATGTTGCCTTTTAAATTTCGGTTTATGACCGATGACAACTGTTATATTGACCAAGTAAAAAGCTCATTGGTTTTTTTTTTTTTTTTGATTTTTCAAATTATGATAGCTTCTACCCAAAGTTCAATTTAATTCAAATATGCTCCGTTTTATTCGTAAACTTATTGCCAACGAGATGCCAACTTCATTATACCTCTCTCGTAGATGGCTGCGTCCCTATTGGCAAAAAACTCGGAGAGCCAATTTTCACAGGCCTCTCTTGGGGCTAACTTCTCGCCATTAAGCCCGTTAGCCATGGACAGAAAAAGATGGTAATCACTTCGGGCCAGGTCCAGACTATAATGTGGGTGCTTTAAGACCTCCCATCCGAGCTCCTGGAGCTTCAGGCACGTTACCATGGACGTGTGTGGCCTGTGGTTTTGCGTCTTGATGTGTTTCCAAATAAATGGATGGACAGCTTATACTAAGCCGCCTCCGAACGGCTGATGGTTTTTTTTATGAGGAGCCTTTATTTCATGCGAAAATTACACTCGGAGGGGTTGACATTCCCTGCCGAGGGGCGACCGCAATTAGAAAATTTTGCTTAATTGTTTATTTAAATTAAATTTCTAAAGTTTCGTGTCGATCGGTTGGTTAGTTTTTGAACTACAATCTGACTGACGCGTTTTAGGGTTGTTCCGAAACTATTGCAGTTACGATCCTGATTTCGCTATATTTCTTTTTCGAAGGATAAGCTATCGAAGAATGTAAAAAAGTTGTTTTTTTTTTTTGAAAGTGTCACACTGGTTTCATAAAATTCTGCGGGTTAATAAAATGAAGAAAGCTGAATTTAAGCTTAGTGCTTAGTAATTTAATTTAGCCTTGTTTTAGGCGCAAAAGCTCAGATGAGATATTAAATTTTGATACATTTTTTACAAATCAACGGGAGCGTGAAAATACAATTGAAAGTATCATTGAATCTATTGCATTTTAGAGACTTTCTTTTTTTTATAATTTTTAATTTACTTTATTTTTTTATAATTCCAACTTAAAAATATTTTTGATTTTATTTGACATTAACAAATTCTCTGACTGAAGTTTGTAAAAGAATAAGTATAAATTTTTTGCTCTGCAACCGCTTCTCTCCTCCAATTTGTGGTTTTTTTGACGTGTTTCCAACAAATGATGGGGCCTACACTTCATACTAAGCCGCCTCCGAACGGCTGATGGTTTTTTATGAAAAGCTCTAATTTCAAGTCAGAAAAACATTCGGAGGGCTTGACATGCTCTGACGAGAGACGATGGCAATTAGAAAAATTAGTATTCTATAACTTTGGAGGACTTTCCGAATATTAGTAGTACACACTGCTAACTCCTTGGTTTTTGGTGCCGTTTTGTATTTACAATTTTTTGGTTTATATTCACTGACTAAAATCTCTAAAATATGGAAAAAAATAAATGAATAATTTTTTTAATTTTTTTTTAATTCTCAGGGTGTACACGAAGATGTATACACATTGCAACCGCACATTAAATTATTTAAAGATTTAAATATCCTCGCCAGAGATGAGGCTTTTCGAAATGCTACTGCCGTTCACCCCGTGACTGCGACAGATGATTTCTATCGTCTGCATGCCTATTATTCCAGGGTAGGTATCAAATTACAACAAAAACAACAATCTTATATCAGAAATATTTCAAAAATGATAAAAAAAAAACTTCTACTTCTACTCTTAGTATCATTTAGAATTAGTGCAGCAGCGCAGCTTCGACTTGGAACGCAAATCATATCAAATAGCTAACGGTACCATATCAAATGACATACTCGAAATACGCTGGCCACTTGGCGTGCCACTCGGCTCAGCGCCCGAAACACGACATGACATCATAACATGGCATCTGATCAACAGCACACACATTTTTCTGCCGAACGCCGAAAATATCGTCGAACCACTGAGTCACATTGACAAGTTGGATTTTAATAAAGTGCTTGAAATCGGCATAGCCTATGCGAAACGGAAGCATCCACATTTGCAATTTGTCAATTTGCATACGGTCTACAGGAAATTTGATGCAACGCGTGGCATGGATTATCAATTGCATTTGAATATGCGCGATGACACACGCCTTTCCACTGGCGAATTGGTGACGAAAAGCTTTCAAGTTATCAAACCGCTGGGACGGGTGGAGGTAATACCGTCGCCATATGTTACGGAAAGTACGCGCATCGCCATTATGGTGCCCGCTTTTGAACATCAAGCGGCTGATGGTGTACAGTTTATAGCGGATTATGAGCGAATTTGCATGCAAAATCAGGATAATACATTTTTGCTGATGGTACGTTGGAAAATGTGTTATGTGTGACTGTTAAAAGAAATGAACACACACACTTTTTTACTTACTTTTTTCTTCTCAGATCTTCTTGTATCGTTACGATTCAATGAGCAAGGGTGAAAATGATCCTTTCAAAAGTCTCAAAACACTCGCTTTAGATTTATCAACAAAATATAAAAATGATGGTTCACGTATTGCTTGGGTGTCCATACGTTTACCGCCAATGCTGAGTGATACACCGCCAGCCGGGGATATTATGCTCAATACTCTCTATGGACGTAATGAAATTTTAAGTGTTGCTGTGGCCGATCTGGCGTTGCCGAAAATCGGGCTGGATAGCCTGGTGCTGATGGCCTCTACCGATATAAATATGAAGGGGGACTTTTTGAATAGGGTAAGAAAAAACTGAACTCATTTAAAAATTAAATTTAAAGAAAATTAATAAGAAGTAATGGAATTTAAAAATAAAAATATATTAAAAAAAATTTAAAATATAAAAATAAAAATAAAAAATAATTAAGAATTTAATGAATTAAAAATTAAAAATGTTTTAAAAAATTTTAAAACATAAAAATCAAATTAAAACAAAAATTAAGAATTTAAAAAATTAATGAATTTAAAAATTAAAATATATTAAAAAAATTTTAAAACATAAAAATCAAATTAAAACAATAATTAAGAGTTTAATGAATTAGTGAATTAAAAAATAAATATATATTAAAAAAATTTGAAATATGGATTCCGAATTTAATTAAAAATATGAATTGATTGAAAAATAATTAACTTAATTAATTAAATTTAAAAAAGTTATAAAAAATTATTGGATAAAAAGGTAATTAAAAAATAGGCAAATTAAATAATTAAAAAAAAAATTAAAAAATTAAATTAAAAATTAAAGAAAGATTTCAAAATCAAATTGAAATAGTAATAAATTCATTATATTACTTAAATTAAAATTTAAAAACATATTAAAAAAACTTAAAACATAAATTAAGAAAATAAAGTTAAATTCAAAATATACAAATTAATTGATTAAAAAAAATCTTTAATGAAAAAATAACCAATTTAATTATAAAAAATAAAAAATAATAATTGGAAAAAAATTAGCAAATTATATGCTTAAAAATAAATAAAAAAGTAATGAATTATTAATTAAATAATAAAACTTGATTGAAAAAATTAAAACATGAATAAGGAAATAAAGTTAAACTAAGAATACAAAATTATTTAATTAATTAAAAATATGAATTACTTAAAAGTATATTTTATTTAATAAATTAAATATAAAAAAATAAAAAATAATAATTGGATAAAATTATCATTAAAAAATAAGCAAATAAAAATAAGAAATTAAAATAAAATAAAATTAAAATAATAATTAAGTGTTTAATGAATTAATTATTAGAAAACAAAAATTTATTAAAAAATTTTAAAACATGAATTAAGAAAATAAAGTTAAATCAATAATAAAAAATTAATTGATTAATAAAAAAATATGAATTAATTAAAAAATAATTAAACTAATAAATTCACTTAAAAACTTATAATTGGATTATTAGGCAATTCAAAAAATAAGCTAATTAAATATTTAAAAAGAAATTAAATTAAAAATTACAAAAAAAAAATAAATTAAAAAAATTTAAAACAGCTTAAAAAAAATTTAAGTTGTATTGAAAAACTAATTAATAAAAATATTTACATGAAAAATATTATTTAACATAATAATTAAGAACTTAATGTATTAAAAAAATATATTAAAAAAATGTAAAACATGGATTAAAAATATAAAGTTAAACTAAGAATAAAAAATTAATTAATTAATGGATTTAAAATAAATGAGTTACTTAAAATATAATGAATTGCATTAAAAAAAAGTTGGAAAATATGAATTGGATAAAAGGATAATTAAAAAATAAGCAAAAAACAAATTAAAAACAAACAAAAATTAATTGTATTAAATAGTAATAAAAATATTTACATAAAAAATATTATTTTCTACTTTAATAGTTTTTTTTATTAATAAAAAATGTCATATTCATTGTTTCAAACTTCCTTCGGTAAACATTGATATATATCTCTTTTTCATATATTATTTTATATTTTTTTTAATTTTTTTTATTTTATAAAAAATAAAATATTTTATTTAAAATTAGCCTCACATATAATATATATGTATGTATATGTATATATCTTTTTCTATTCTAGGTTCGCATGAATACTATTCAAGGCTTCCAAATATACTCACCAATCGGCTTCAGAATGTATCCATGCCGGTTTGCGTATTTTTGTAGAGAATGTGAGACGTGTGACGTGAGTCAGGGTACTGGATATTTTGACAAATGGAATTACGACGTAATCTCGTTCTACAGTCGTGATTATGTGCAAGGTAAGTTATGGTGCAGGAAATGTCAACCGAGGGTATTTCTGACGTGAAATAAAGACTCCTCATAAAAAAAAACATCAGCCGTTCGGAGGCGGGTTAGCGTGAACTGTAGGTCCCTCCATCCCATCCTATCAAGACGCAAAACCACAAATTGGAAGAGGAGGAGCTGGGCCGAAAATCGATTCAGCGGCTACAAATTAGGAGGAAGACACCTTGGCACAGGGACAACCCAGGCAATTGCATGGCAGTAGAACTCGCAAGAGAAGAAATCCTTCTAACTACGATAAAACACGTACATGATGCTGGTTTACCTCTATCCACGGCTAAGTACATGCTTAAACTGGAATTAACCAGGAAAGCTGGCACACGATGGTTGGACGAGATCACGTGTAACGTGGCCAGACAGCTATGGCCGAAATTGGACCGGAAAAATTCTAAACATCTTATCCTTTTGGACCGGTTCTCCATTAGCATAGCGACGATTATAATAAAGACACTGTTTAACGCGGCTTCACGGGATTAAGAAGGGCTTTTACTCTAACGATTTCTGACGCGGCTGTAGGGACGAAGAAGTGGAGGAGACCATCGAGCACAACCTCTGCCACTGTCCAGCCTTGACATCCACGCGACACAAGTTTCTTGGGGAATACTTCTTCGACTGTCTCGCTGGATTGACCTCAGTGAGCATTGGAAATCTCGTTGCCTGTATAAGGCACACGAAATGGTTCGATCATTTGACAAGATGAAGGCAGGAGCCTCAGCGGTATCACAATGGGCCGATTGCAATAAGTGTGCTGGGCTTCGGCTAGCAGCCGCATCAACTCAACTCAACTAATAAGGAGAATTAGTTTTGACTTTGCTTTTGGGATTTCCTTTGAATTTGTTGCCTAATTAAATTGATACTTTAAAACAATTTTTTTCCTTACAATTTCAGCTCGCCAACGCCTCGAATCAACGTTACCTATAACACGCAGCGACAATGACATTGAGCAGCTACTCAGTCACCCGAATCAAAAGATCAACACCATATTGGATATGTTTGTGGCCTCCCAACTGCCACTACACATTCTACGCGGCACAGAACCGAATTTACGTTACGGCAATGCCATCCGACATTATATAAATAACGGTGGCAAAATACTGAAATGTCCAGCATTGGAAAAAGACGACGTCACAAGTAATGCAGAGCAACCGCATATATCCAATGAAATACCTCAACGTTATGATGCACAACGAGCCGACACAGGGGACAACACGCAAGCGCCGACTGGTTTGGACAGCCACAAATGCATACATTTGGCGTCGCGAAAACAAATCGGTGATGCGATTATACGCTACGAGGATCGAAGCATTCTGCACAAATGAGACTAGTGCACAAAGCAAAGGTGTAGATTTGCAAATTGCTTACATTTTGAATGTAGGCAAAGTCTCATACTGCTTTGGCTTGTATTTCCGTCAAGTTTTCGGTCAGTAAATACAGTGTAACTGTATGGCCGAAATGTCTGTCGAGGCATGTGAACAATTTTAATGCTCAAATTTGCATGATTATGTAAATAATAGTTTAATACTTGCAAAGTTACTGTTACTCTAAGGATATTTAAAGAAAATATTCATAGTATAATATATACAGGCATATATATATGTACTCGTATGTACGAACATAATGTCTATTTACATAAGTATATATATTTCTTTTGCCAAAATGCTTGCACAATTGTAATTGTTATATTTAAGTCGTGTGTCTGTGTGTTTACAGTTAATTAATTTATTATTTTAGTATTAAGTTGGCTAAGTTCAAATAGCAGCTGCATACATATATATACATATAAATACGAACATACACGTACGTATGTATATATGTAATTCCTATCGATTAAATGTAACGAAATGACTTTTTATTGTATTTATGTATATCCCATGTATGTATGTATATTAGTCCTAGCATACAATGTAAAAATATACATACATAAGTACACAAATATACATATGTAGTTCTAAGTAGCGCAGGAACTGCTTGTTTATAATGGTTTTTGTACGTATTATGGCTGTTATTGATGTATTTTATCTACGTCAACTAAATAGAAATGCCCAAAACTTGTCCTTTCCAAAAGCAAATACATTGTTGTACATATAAGATTTATATTTCACAAACATAGATTGTAGACAAGAAATTGTATGGTTATTTGGTGTTTAGTTACTAATGTGCGTTTTTTGTTGTACTGTATTTTATTTTATTTATTTCATATTTATTTTTTTTATTCTATTCCATTCGATTTTAATTTTATTTTTTATTTTTTGGTTTCTATGTTTGTTTTTATTTTTTTTATTCTTTTATTATTCACTATTTATTAATATATTTTTTTTTTGCTTAATGTTTAATTTTCCAGTATATACTCTTTCATTAAACTTTTATTTTTATTATTTTATTGTTTTTGCTTTTTAATTTATTTTATTTCATTTTTTTATTGGATTTTATTTTTTCGCCTTATTTTACATCATTATTTCATTAAATGTTCTATTTTAGTTTTTTTATTTTATTTCTATTTTTCTCCAGTTTATTTTTAATTAATTATATATCTTTTTTATTAATCATATATATTTTTTGATTTAATTCTTTTATTGTTTTTTTTTTATTTTCATTTTCATAATACTTAAAATTTTGTATTTTATTTGTAGTTGATTTTTTGTTCTTATGCTTTTTTTGTATTTATTTTAATTTAGTTCATTTATTATATTATTTTATTATGCTTTAATATTTGTGTTTAATGTTTTATTTTTTATTGCTTCCGTCTTTTTTTTGTTTGGTTTAATTTTTTATTGAATTATATGGTTTTTTCTTATATTATCTTATTTTACTTTAATATTAGATGTAGTAAGAAGAAATCCATTATTTCTGCATGAAATTAGACTGAACTTTTACTTTTCGTATCCAGCCTTATTGAAATGGTGGCAAACGATTTTTGGGCAATCTTTAGCTCTTGGACAATCGAAACAGTGCTTACATGTGACGGTCGGACTCGACAATTTCCATGATTTTATCGACATTTTCGACAACTGGCCTTCCACTCCGTGAAGCATCTTTTGCATCAAAATTACCAGAATGAGACCGAAATTGTGCATGATCGACAGGCATCAGGACTATAAACGCTATTCACATTTGCTGCCGCCTGGCTTGCGTTTTCGCCCTTAACGAAGAAATACTATAAAATATAGCATATTTTGTTAGTGTCCATATTTGACGAACGCTCAAAAAAAAAACTGAATCAACCAATCACAAAACTGACAGTAATAATACAAAATGTCATCTTTCTAACGCCATTTAATGTCCCCCAAACGGACTTATGCAACGTGAGATGTGGCAAATACCGTAATTTTTCGAAAAAATTCTTGGATTTCTTTTGTCTATACCTAATATTTCACTAAATTTTGTATTTTATGTTATTTTATTGATTAACATTAAGTTTTTTTGTTTTACTCTAGTTGATTTGTTATTTTTATTTTTTGTACATTAATTTAATTCTTTTATTATTTTATTTGATTTTTTTTTTGTTTAATGTTTTATATTTTTAATATATTTTTTTATTCTAATTTTACCTTTTCCATGTTGTTGGTTTTTGTTTTTCTTTTTTTTTTATATAAAATTTTGTATTGGATTTTATTTTTCCCCCTAACTTATTTTATTTTATTTTATTTTAGTATTTCAATAGTTTCTTTTTTAATTTTTTTACTCTGTTTTATTTTTATTTTATTTATTATTTATTATTTGCATTTTATCAAATTTTTTACTTTATGCGTTGTTTTTGTAGTTATTTTAATTTAATTCGTGTTTTAATTTTTTATATATTGGAGTTAATGTTTTATTATTTTTAATACAGTTTATATATTTTAGTTCTACCTTTTGATGTTATTGGTTTAGATTTTTGATTTATTTTATTTGATTTTTTTTTATTTTACTTTTTTTCTTAGTTTATCTGATGTTATTTTATTATTTCAATAATTTTTTTAATTTTATTTATTTAACTCTATTTTATTTTTAACTTATTTTTACTTTTAATATTATATTTTATATATTTTTTGTATTTATTTTATTTTAGTTCGTTTATAATTTTTTTATTTATTTATTTTTTTTTTTATTTGGAGTTTTATTTTTTTATTATATTTTTACCACATTTTTTGTATTGTTTTCCTAATTGTTTAACTTAAAATTTGTTTGATTGGTTGTTTTCATAATTTATCTTATTTTATTTTATTTTTCATTAAATTTTTATATCGTTATATATTTTTTTAATTTATTTTGTTTTAACTTAATTTGAATTTGTTTTATTTGTGTAGTATTCATTTTATTTTTTATTTTCTAATATTCGAGTACTGCTCAATTAAATCTTCACGCATGTATCCTATTATCTTAGTGCTTTAAGTATTTTTTATTTGTATTGTATGTACACATATTCATCCCGCCATGACTGCCAAGTATTCAATTTGCATAAAACATACAATTCTAAATATATTTTAATATAATTTGTATGAATATATGAGTTTGTTATGTATGTCATAATTAGTTTTGCATATTTTATAAAAGAATTTCATTCCTTATGTAATAAAGGATAAAAAGAGTGCGTTCGTTATAGTCATATATTTTCAGATTGTTGCTTAGATATATGCAACACACATTTCTCCAGTCTATTTAAATGACTTTCAGTTTCTTTTCTACCTCTTTATCACATTTTCCACATACGTGAGTTAACAAGTAAAGAAAACCAATTAAAAAATTAAACGGAATTTGTAAATAGGCTTTAGATATTAGGTTTAAAAATAAAACTCTATATTAACTGTTATATGATTAAAGGTGCCAAAGCTTTTAAAAATATTTCTAATTATCTGATATGCTCTCAATAGTTTTAGTAAAATGAGCAACGAAAGAATTAAAGTATTATCTTTAGCTATAGATAAACTAAACTAACAGGGCAGCTATTTAGTAAAAATAGAAATAAAAAAATTAAAATAAAATACAAAAACTTGAAGAAATTGCATGTATAATCAATATAAATGAGTGTTTTTTTAAGGTAATTTACATTCAAAATAGCTTATGTTATACATAAGATACTACGCAGCTGTAAATGTTTTCAACAACCCAAATAAAATGTTATGGATGAATTTGCAACAGTTAGATAAATGCATTTTTATTTGTCATATTGTAATGTATGTATGTATATTTCTTTAAATTATTTTTCTTTGTTTTCAAATAAAAAAGATGTTTTCAAATAAAATACCATAACTTTGGATATTACAACATTTTCTTTTTAACTATATAATAATATTATATATACCATTAGGTCTTATTTAGTAGAAAGCTCATGTCCGAGTTGGGTGCAAATTCGGCTTGTTCTTTGTTGCTGAAAATTATATAAAGGCGAAAATATAAATACCACACTTAAAAAAGGCGTGATATTATAATGTGAACTACATTTTTTAATAAGAAAATTAATTAACTCCCTCATTTAATTTAAAAAAACACAAAACATATTAAATATACTTACGGCAAAAACAATTTCGCATTACGATCCCCTATGAGTGTGGCTATATCGCCCTCCACCAGCAATGCAGTACCTTCACGTAAGCCCAACACTTGTTTTTTATGATATTCAATAAATTCATTTATACGTTCGTCTCGGGTTTCACCCTTGTGACGTGTCGTTTCATCTGGATCCAAATAGTGTGGATTAATATTGAATGGCACTAGGCGTAATGCTTCGAATGAGGGCGGAAATGTTACGGGCATATCGTTGGTTGTATGTATTGAGAGTGTGGCCACATTGGTGCCAGCACTCGAGCCAATATACGGAATACCTTTTTGGAGTACACGTTCGCGTATAATTGGTATAAGATTTGCATCGTAAAGGGCCTTTAACAGCACAAAAGTATTACCGCCGCCAACAAAGAGTGCTTCCGCCTGCAAAACCGCTTGGATAGGATTCGATTTTGCGTGTATACCCTCAACTTTATAACCCCATGGTTTGAGTGTATTCTCTACAAGTTCCGTGTATTTATTGTAATCACTCTGAGCATAGGGTATAAAAAGCACTGTTTTCACTTTACGCCTACGTAGGTGTGGGTGGAAAATTTTCAATCAATATACAAATATGTATATGTACATATGTTATGCCACGTAAGTGAAATTACAAAATGCTTACTTTGATAGAAATTCCTTTAAATGTTCCTTTGCATGCTCCAAAAATTCATACCCATGTACACGAGATGAAGAGAGTAAGAAAATTGAACGCGGTGCCATCTTCACCAATAGGTTGGATTTTCAAAATGGCAGCAAGACTGATTAAGACTTTATGCTTGATAAATACTATTTGTGCACTTTTGCTTTTGTACACCAAACTAAATAGTTTGTGTAGACGTTTTTACTACCTCTATAATTTATATGAAATCATAAAACAACACTTTTTAGATAAAGGTCACCATCGATTAAGGTATGTGTACAAACAACAATTGATGTTGATCAGCTGTTCTTGAGTGTACTGATAAGAAAAAAAACCGGGTACCTGTTATACGGTAAGTAGTACTCAGACAGTGTTGCACTCAAGTGAAAACTTCAAATTTAATTTTTTTTTCGATAAAAATATAATATTTTTTGATTTTTACAATAGTTTCCCTTTTAACTCAATTATGTGGTATAATGTAATACTGGTTTTAATTTGTAGATATGCATTATCTTTGTCATACTATATATATATAAAATTGAATATCATTGCATTAATGAATTAATCCAAAAAAATGAAATGAAAGCTATATAGTAATATAAAACTACATCTCTCTGATTTTAAAACACATTTTAGTAGTTGGTGTACTTGATAATTTTACTTCGAATAATTTTATGTTTTTTTCCTTGTTTCTTGCTTTATATAGATAACGAATTGTAGGCATAAAAATATGTTTAACTATTAAAAATTCAAGGCAAATGACCCGCATAAAAGAGCATTTAGTGTAGCATACTTCACCCGACCTTAATATTCGCTGTTAAATATTTCACTTAAACAAAGTAAAGAATACAAATAATCCTTATTTAATAATTTAATATTTTTATTATATAATTTTTAAATTCAACACATGCATTTTCGTAGCAATAGTTCTTTACATACTTCTAATAAAATGTACTAAGGAATTTGCATGAAAACATTCTTTCACAGACATAAAAATACATATAATTGACATTATTTGTATATTGCACAATTCTTAACAATTGCTAAGATTCCAACAAAGAAATTTTAATTTAAAAAAGCAGGACTTTTACAAGGTAAAATAGATTTTCGCAATAAATAACACTTAAGTTTAGTGTAACCGTAGGAAGTGTGTACAAACTTAATATCATGCTAAGCATACGTTCAAATTTCGGTTTTGTTAAGCGAAATATTTTTTTAATTTACCATCTACGAAATATATTTAGTTTGATTTTCTCTACGCATTTTAATGCAAGTCTTTGCCTTTGAGGTCATTATCAAAAATATGCAGTCCCAATTCCTTCTCGCAGCGTTCTATTTGTGTTATATAATCGGCCAACTCTTTTTGCGCATCCACTTGTTCAACAAGGAAATGAGTTTCAATGAAATCGCTTAAATGTGCATCGTTATGCTTATTTGCCAAAGCGTGTAGTGATAGCAAGGACTTGAAAAAAAATGGAACGCTAAGCACATTTGCCTCTATCTGATGATCAATTTGAAAATTACCTCATTAACCGTCTTCTCCATATCCAAAGCCTCTATGAGCGCCGCCTTGGCTGTTGTAAATTCAAATTCTGGTGCTGGCAGAGCTTCCAAACATATTGTACCACCTCTTTTGTTCAAATATTCCATAAATTTTGTGGCATGTTCACGTTCTTCTGAGCTAGCAGCTTTGAAAAATCCATACAAACCGGGTAGGGCGACATCACTGCGATCGAAATGGTAAGCCTGTGGCAAGTATGAAATTGTTTACATCAAATTCAAACGATTGCTTTTAAAATATATGAAATTTTTATTTTTGGACAAACCATAGCCAAATAATTGTAGCTTGATTTCAGTTCCAAGTGTATTTGTTTGTTGATTGCATGTTCACAATCACTTGTGAAATTTTGACGCACTATCAAGCACATTAGTCGCCGAAATTGTAAACGTCCCGTGAAATTCATATTCCAATTGGATTCTGATTGTTTGTGAAATTTCTAATTTATGATAGGTAAATAAATTGAACTTTAATGCTGATTTTTAATGTCGTAGAACTATTTGTTTATTTTCGGAAGCGCACTTGCAAATTACGATGCTTTTGTGCCGTAAAATACAATTGCATGAAGTGACAGGTGCGCTGACAGGAATAAATTTTATTATGACCGTTGGATATGCAATGCGCCGATGCAATTTTTATAGTATAGTGGACTTTCGGTTGTAAATTTTTAATAAAAATCATTTTAAAAGAGTAAATACGCAATAAAAACTAAAGTTTAATGGCGCTTAACATATAATATAGTTTATTTTATTTTATTTAAATTTTCATTAATTTTACTTTTAGTATTATATTACGGCATGACATCTTCATTTGGTAAATATTTATCGGATATACATATTTATGAATCTTTTCTTCGATTTTACAGGCATTTTTTATTTTTCTTAGAGAATTTTACGTACTGTACGCGTGTTATGCTTTTCATTTCGGCATAATTAACAATTTATTATATTACAATCTAAATAGGCACACTTAGTTTTCAAGTTATTGAATACATAATATTCATATACAATTATTAGTTTTGTAACAAAGAATTATTGTATTTCCATACGGTAAATAATTTTCTCATCTTTACCAATTTTTTATGATTTTTTTAATAAGGCAATATTATTCAAAATACTTTACAACAAGGTATTTTTTAGTATTTATGTAGTTTCTCATAACATTTCGTTTTAAGCCTTTATCGTTTTAATTGTTTGCTTTTAATTTACTGTGATCAATTTGTTTAAATCATTCATTGTTAAGTTGACAGTTTATTATAAATCGTTTACTTAACCTTTATTTTAACTTTTTTCTTATTTTTTTTTGTTTTTGTTTTGCAATCATTATTTTACAATTCAATAAGATCGTAGCAATGTACGAACACATTACTCTGGCAAATCTAATATTCTCGACACGAATTCCGAAATATCTGTATCACGTTCTATGTGCTCGACGATAAATTCGTGTTTCAGTAATTCCTCATAATTTGGACGTGCTCTAAAATTTTTCTGTAAGCACTTAATAATGAAGTCTTCGAATTGAGGTGAAAATTGACCGGGTTCAAGACGTGGAGGACTCTCAGTAACAACCTGAAAATATTTTATTGTGTAATTTGAAAAGTTTTGCAAGTAAATTCTTCAAAAATAATTACCTGTTTCAATTGTTCAAATGGCGTGGACCAGTGATTGTATGGAAATCTGCCTGTCGCCATTTCAATCATGCTGATGCCCAGAGACCAGACATCAGAGCGTATATCATATTGAGCAGGATTGCCTTGGGGATCGATACGTTCGGGCGCCATGTACGGCTTGCAACCGGCATCAATTGTTTTGGCAACAGAATCAACCAAGTAGCCTATTAAAATTAATATATGAATAATATTAATTAAATATATTTTCTATAATAAAAAAGGAGTGGCAGATAAAGTAACATAAAGGTTTGGCATTTGCAGAAAATATCTTTGACTGGTAAACAATAACTTCATTGTGTAATGCAAAATCAGTTTGTTGCATAACAGTTTTGATTAAAAAAAATTCTTATAGCGCAATATAAAAAAAAATTTTTCCAACCATTTAAGAGTTGCTATATTTGACACACCCATATTCATATTGTCTTTATACCTGAGATACCGAAATCACACATCTTCACTTCACCACTACGGTTGATCAGTATATTGGAAGGCTTTACATCGCGATGTATAACTTTTAATTGTGCGTGCAGATATTGCAGAGCATTCACGACAGACATCGCAATCTACAAGATACATTATTTGCATTTACTTTTAGTAATACAAACAAAAAAGAAAATACATACTTTCCCCAATACACTCTCTTCCATTGTTAAGTTGTTTCGAAATACTTTAGGGTAAAATTTATCTAAACTTGTATCCATTACTTCCATACAAATCCAAACGTCGCCTTCACGGAAGAGTGCGCCATAAAAGTGTACTGTGTATGGACAATCGCTCGAACGCATGGAAATATCCAAATCCATAAGCAGACGTTTTTGTTCGTTGCGGTTTACTGTCGCTGTAATGCGTTTCACTGCCATTACCGTGCCTGTCTGCTCATGTCGCATTTTTTCCACAATACCATATGCACCACGCCCCAAGTCACCAATTTTTTCCAAACTGTCAGCATTGATTTCGAATTGTTGATTACCTATATTTATAGTGGCACTCGAGTCTAAATTACGGGGTGGCATACTACGAATAAATATAGACACAATATTTCACAAGATTCAATAAACAAATATAACAAACATACATTTCTGGTTCTGGTTCTTTCTGTATAAGGATCTTGAAACCTGGTCTCTGTTTTCCAGCCATTCTTATGTCTATCTTTTGCACGGAGTTTCTTTAGTTCTAAAATCCTTTAAGCTCTCACCAAGTATTGATAACAAATGGCTTTTGGTCAAACTAAACTTTGCGTCGACCTTATGCGACCTTATGCAAATTAAGTGCACAGACGCCGAATCTGGAGTCTTCTCCGACAAATTTTAACAAACTTCGTCAATGGTTTTTTCTAAATTTATTACCGTCCTAAGCCTATTTTGAGTTTACCCAAATTTGGAATTTTCGCGGCTCCGTTCACGTTTACCTATTTTCTGATTGGCTTTCTACCTCGATTCGTGTGGGCTCGCGCTCGCTACACAAAACTCCAAATGTCACTTTTTTCCTAATTTGGTAATATTTTCTAAAACATTCTATTGCGGGACTATTAAAATAACTTTACAGCAAACTTTTCTTTAAAAATATTGCCGCCAATAGAAACCGATTAGTATTTCGTAAATTTATCCTTTTCTAATTTTTTCGCCGATTCTCGATTCCTATCAAATAAAATCTTGCAAATTTTTTTCGTTTTTCGTTTCGTTGTCTCGTTCGATATCTGCTTTAGCCGATTTTTTTGGTGCTACCATATTACAAGGATTTGTGTGAGGAGGTTTTTAAGTTTATCTATCGCGAGAGGGTTAAAAAACCTAAAAAAAATTTTACCTGTAAAAGCTTCTCCAGGAATAATGTGACTCATGAATTAATAACTGAAAACCACCGAGAATTTATTGTTTATAATTAGTTTTTCTCTTAATATCGTCTATAAGGTCCGGTCGAGCCTATTGTGTGAAAGATTGAAGCCAACCGTCAACAAACTGATTGGATCTTATCAGTGTGGCTTCAGGCGGCTGACCTCTCCGAGCCGTTCGGTATCAAATGGGGTTTCAGGCAAGGTGACTTTGTCGTGTGATTTCTTCAATTTGATGCTGGAGATAATATAATAATACGAGCTGCAGAGCTGAATAGAGAAGGTACAACTACTGGCGTACGATGATATTAGCATCGTTGGCCTCAGAAACCGCGCCGTTAGTTCTGCTTTCTCCAGGCTCAATAAAGAAGCAAAGCGAGCGAGTCTGGTAGTAAACGAGGACAGACGAAAAATCTCCTGTCATCAAACAAACAGTCATCGCATTCGCGACTTGGCTCCCACGTCACTGTTGACAGTCATAACTTTGAAGTCGTAGATAATGTCGTCTATCTAGGAACCAGCATTAACACTAATAATAACGTCAGCCTTGAAATCCAGCGCAGAATCATTCTTGCCAACAGGTGCTACTATGGACTGAGTAGGAGAGAAGGACCTGGATGTACTCGGTATTTCTAATTAGCGCCAAAAAGAAGAAGCGAATGGCGCAATGCTGTTAAATCGGCTATAATCGCGTAAGCGGTGTCTACGCCAGTAAAGTTAATAAGTTATTAGTTTTCCAAAAATCCACCGAAAAATAGTAGGGTATTCAATTGACTGTTCTAAGCACTTTGCGTCCAGAACTAATGCGAATTTACAGTCTACATATTTTAGTATTTTTCTTTTGTTGTAAGCTGCTTCTGTTACTGGTGTTTTATTTTGTACTTTTTCTATTTCCTGTTTTTTGTATACAGATCAAATCTTGTTTTTTTCAAAATTATTCACTAAACTCACCGCTTGTGGCTTTGTTACTTTCATGTTATGGCACATCTAGCTTAAGCTTATTACTTCAAATTCTTTGAAACATAAGAAACAGAAATCAACATTTATTCATTACATTAATTTTAGCTTTTTATTGATAATCCTTTCAGATTTAACTCGTCATTGTTTTCTTCCACAACAAAGTTGAATTTAAAACCGCCACCAATTAAATTCAAATCTTTAATGAGGGAGCTACTTTCGCTTTTGGTTTCCGTTTGTGTGTCCTTGACTTCATTCTCAGCAGATTCGGAAGCATCGTCTATCTTTGAGGGAGTGAAATTGAAACGAAATTCTTTTCCCGTTTGTATTATGGCAGCCTTTTTCAGGAAGCTGGACTTCTTATTCGCTTCAATAGTTTCTGTGAATTTTATTTGTTTTGCAGCTGTAATGTACTATAAGTTTACAACACATCGACATTCAAATTTAGAAAATATGTGTACTATACCTAATTCCATCTTCTTTTCCTCCTCTTTCATTTTTGCTCGATAGTCTCCTAAGGCAGCCTTCATTACCTGGCGCTTTTTGACGAGCGGTGCGGATACACTTTTAAGCACCCTTATATTCTTAATGGTGTCATCCGCTAACATGTTTAATTAATTTATTATTTCATAAACAAAATCTGAAACATAAAAACTTACCAATTTTTTGTGACAGTTTCCCCGAATTCAGTGCGTTTTCCAGTTGTTGTACACACCAACATAGTTCCAACTCAATTTGCGGCTCATTGTCCAGTGTTTCTCGGCTGAGCCCTGCCAACGGTGGTGGCTTCTGTAAGGATTTGGGTCTTTTTATTTTATTCATCACTTTATTTCTTTTTTCTAGAGATCTATGCATAAGTTAGGAAAAGACTTTATGTTTACAAGTTTGCAAATGTGAAGAACAAAAAAGTATATTTTGACATTTTCTTTTATGACAATATCGATAACACAAAATGTGTCGAACATCGAAACAAGCAGATTTATTTATTTATGTACATTTAGAGAGTATTCTAAGTACCCTGGCAAAACCATTGTGTAACGAATTTTCTAAATAAGTCTCGATGACTCCTACGAATTCATTCACTTGATTGTAAAAAAATTCCCTGTTGCACAATTTCTAAATAGTAAGGAATGTAATCAGCGTTTTATAACTTACTAGAAAAGTTAGCTTTACTACACTCGACGAATTATTTTAGAGCTCTTCCACTCGAATGTCAAACTCACCTAGACATGACAGGGGTGCTTGCTTCGCTCTTATAAATCAACAGATTGCTCGCAAGTGTCTTCCAGAATGTAATTCTTTGATTGTCTTTGATAACGGACATTTGATGTACGCACTTTATTTTGTTAAAAAATGTGCTTGATTTCTAGGCCCCTCCTTATCACTCCACCTACGTATTTGGCATTTACTACAGACCGATTAAAAAAATTAATTTGTATCAGATTTAAATGAAATATACTTTTCTATTGAAACCATTTTACTTAAGTCCACACATGTTGTTGTTGTAACCGTTAAATATAATAACTATTCGGGGAATACTATGAAGTGACAGTCCCTGGCCGTATAAAAACCCAGAATTTACCCATGGTAAGGCATGCCTGTCGTAAGAGGCGACTAAAATACAATAGTTCCGGCGACAGTCGGGTCTTTATACCGGAACGACCCGAATATTTATCCGGCCAAGGACTGTCACTCCCGCAATATTCCCCGAAAACCAATTTGGGGAATAATTTTCGGTTACAACAACAACAACACAGGCAGGATTTACCACGGGTAAATCTGGAGCCCCTGACCCGTATATAATTACGGCATAACATTATTAAGTTGAAATCTACATGAAGTTTACACAAAAAACAGTGTTTTGTTAACAATAACTTATACGCAACAAAACTGCAACCCTGTGACTGGAAACTTGCTGACAGCTGTCAACGTGGGTTTCTTTCTTTTCTTACAAATCGTCTTTGGAGGTAGATGTATTTTGTTTTAATACTTATTAAATTTACATAAAATCTAATAATTTTCCCTATTTTCCATTCTAGAACTCCATCTGACTTTGTATTCTTACTAAGAAAGTAGCAGTCATGGTTGCCGTAAAGAAACAGGTAATTTATTGCTATATAATTGACACGTGGTGTACTAATGCACCGCTACACTGTAACATAACCTAACAAATGTTCTGCTTTCGTTTACAGAAAAAGGCTTTGGAGAGTACCAATGCCCGTTTGGCGTTGGTAATGAAATCGGGCAAATATTGCTTGGGTTACAAACAAGCTTTAAAAACCTTGCGTCAAGGCAAAGCAAAATTGGTATTGATTGCCAGCAACACTCCAGCATTGAGGTGAGAGCCACATGCATTTGCGTACATGACTACAGAGAAGTAGTTTTCCATTGTCAATACTTGCTGGAGCCATATGGAGTCTTACGAGACTGAGAAGTATGCTTCCATACAAGTTTCCCCCCATAATCGTTTGCATTCTTATAATTTATTATTTGCAATGGGAACTATGGAGTAGTAATTCTCAGTACAAATATTGCATAGTGCTCGTATGTGCGCGGTTTAAAGATACAATGCAATATCAATAGATATCCAAGTGGTTCCAGCAATAGTGAGACAGGTAATGAAATTTGTGTGAATATATCAAGTACATATATTCCATTGGAGTTATTATTTTTGAGAATGATGAATGTATTTAGCTGACATGTCCCATGTTGATATTCAATTACTACTAGAGACTCTTTCTGATTTGATTAAAAGTTTATTAAATTACCTTAGTTTAATTGCATTCATAAATTAATAAAATGAATACTTTATTTTAGGAAATCTGAGATTGAATACTACGCTATGTTGGCCAAGACCGAAGTGCAACATTACAGTGGCACCAACATTGAGTTGGGTACCGCTTGCGGAAAATACTTCCGTGTGTGCACAATGTCCATCACCGATCCAGGTGATTCCGACATTATTCGCTCATTGCCAGACAACTAAATCCTATAATGTAATTTTATAAATAAATAATAAAATTTCAAAAACAATCCACAGGTTTTTATTTTAGTAACCATTGGTGTTTCCTTACAATACTTTTTGTAGGATATGAAAAGTTTTCTAGGTACAGCTAAAATCTTCAAATGAGTGGCAAAGTTGTATTTGTAACAGATGTCTTAAAGAATTTGTTCCAACATCAATGTACATATTGGCCAGAAAATCCTATTAAGATCGAGGAAGGTTCTTCAGATTACCAGTACCAATATTTAACATGCAATGTAAAAATTCCTGGCTACTCTGGCCGAGAAGTTGTCAATGTGTACTACCATTCGGAAGCCGGGCTTAGGGCTCCGCAAATAAAAGTATCGGCCGTTAAGACGAGGCGTAGTACAAACTGCAGGTCGCTTTATTTGTTGAAAAAACACCAAGGCATAAAACCAAATTGAAAGGAACTCAACAGAAAGCGGTTTCAAAGCGTAATTTATATATATATATATAACTAGAGAATGCATAAAATCGTGATATGTATATTTTATGATTTTTGTAAATTTAAGTTTTTCCTAAAGTTACTAAAGTTACCTGTAGACCTAAACGGGTACGTTTTACGTTTACTTGACTGTGTAAGCACGCCTATATGAATAATATAGATATCGTAATTTTCATGCAACCCTGTAAATCTGTTATTTATTTCGTTTTGACATTGTCTTGGACAACAATAAATTTTTATACATTTTTGCAAACAATTTAATAGATAATATTTATTTAAAAAATGTTATGCCGTTTGTGCATTGGTGATTGTGATCAAAACTCTGTAGAGCTTATGGACTCTGGCGGTCAAAATACATCTGTATACAGTGTTGTTGCAAAGTATTTCGAAAAGGAGGTACCTTTGAAATTCTTTTAAATTTCATTCTTTAAGTTTTATATAAATATTTGTAAATTCGCTTAAGATAAACAATATGGATCATATAAAAGCAGAATTTGAGGCAGAACCATGTGAGGGACCACCAAAATTGATCTCGCGTTTAATTTGTGCTAATTGTTGGCGACACATCGACGATTTTCATCGATGGCAAAAGGAGTTGGTGACTTTACAAGAAGAGCGCCTGAAGCCATACCAAAGAGAAATGGTTGAAAGTGTAAAACTAGAGTTGGAAATTGATGTCAACAACCTGCCTATGTATGAAGAATCTTTCGCTGATGATACATGTGATAATGAAGATTATTTTAATGAATATACGGAAGATCCTGTCGCTGTATGTGGAATAACCAATGCTGATCGCCCAAATGAATTGCTTCCAGTTAAGGAGATGAAAAGCGATGATAAATTAAGTGAAGATAGCAACAACGACGATATGCCGTTATTGAATAGAAAAAATTTAGCGAAAAAAAAATCAATTAATGTCATCAAAAGGCCTGGAAGACCAAAAAAACTTAAAAAATCAGTGCAGAAAACATCAGATGTAGAAACGGATTTAGATCTTAATGTGGATGATGCAAATAATACTGAAAAGGCTAAGGAGAAAAGTTTGAAAACAAAGGAATTTGATGCTTTTATTGCCAAACATTTTAAGGAACAATTGCCTTGTGAGTTGTGTGGCCATCTGTCTGCCGATTTCACTGAATTGCGTGTACACTTCCGTGAAATGCACAACAATAATAAGGGTTATGTATTATGCTGCAAGCACAAATATAGTCAACGATTTCACTTTGTGGAACATTTGCAAGTGCATTTAAATCCAACAAAGTTTCAGTGCTCAGAATGTGGTAAATGTAGTGCAAATGCCAGAAGTTTAGTGGCGCATATGAAATCAATGCACGAACCTAAGTCATTGGAACGACGTTTTGAATGTGAAATTTGTCATAAGAAATTCGCGAAATTACCTATTCTAAAAACTCACATGGAGACACATGCTGAAGGCAATCCTGATCATGTGTGCAAGGAGTGTGGAAAGGGGTATAAAATAAATAAATTTTATTTAAAAGTATTTAAAATCTAATATGTCTATCTCTATCTCACTCCATTAGCTTTGTTTTAGAAAGTCGTCTTAACATTCACATACGAAACGTTCACAGTACAGCATATCAAAGCGTTTGCGATCAATGTGGCAAATCTTTCCGAGGTCGGTATGCATTAAAATATCACTTGCTGGAACATGAAGGAGGCGGCAAACAACTTTGGCCCTGTGATCAATGCGATGCCAAATTACATTCCAAATTTAGTTTAAAACGTCATAAACGCATAACTCATAATGAGAGTTCCACCGTGTACGTATGCGGTGAATGTGGCAAGGTGGCCTTGAGTGAGGATGCTCTTAAGTCACATAAGCGCTATGTGCATCAACGAGAGCGTACTCATCAATGTACGGTGTGTGGCAAAGCATTTAAAGCATCAAAAGTGTTAAAGGTGTGCTTTATTTATTTAATTAACAATTGGTGAATTTAACTATTTACAGTCAATTTAATTTTTTCTACTTAAATAGGAGCACATGACGACTCATACAGGCGAGGACTTGTATCAATGTCCACATTGTCCTCGTACCTTCAAAGTGAATGCAAATATGCATCATCATCGCAAACGGAAACATCCAAAGGAATGGGAAGAAAATCGTAGACATCGTTCAATGTCATTTAAACGTGTTGATCTTAGCACCATATCGAATGAAGTAGTACTGTAAAAATTAAGAATTACATATTTTCAAAATTCCCTTAAATGATACCGTTTAATTAGTTTTATAATTATATAAATTATATATGTATATATATTTTATGACATGTAAGATTATGATACTTACCAAGTATTTTTTTTAGTATGAAGTTAATTAAAAAAAGCTTGCAAATTTGATAAACAATTTTTTATTTTCCTTGTACAAAACTTGAACACTAAGGCCTCTCTATATATCGTTGGATATGTTAAGTTCAAATATTGCTATTTTTCGTCTAACTACATTTAAGTACATAAAATACTTGATTATAAACATTAATACCTGCCTTTTCACTAATATTGAATACCATTTTCCTTTTAAAATAATGCAGTAAATTACAAACATACATATAATATATGTTTAAACTATGTTAATTTCACTAGTCTACATGATAATAACACTCGTGGGAAAGAGTATCGCAATTTTCGTACTCTTTCAGCATCACTTCAGTCGTGTCCAAGTCTTTTTCTTGTACACAGGCACAGCGGAAATTATTAGCACCGATTTCAAACAATTGACGAGGATATCCCACCCAATTCCGTTCCTTACCACCACTCGTTCTGGTGCACCACACATGTGAACCACGGTCTACAGACCATTCGATATTACAATCTGGATATATTTCGCGTAGCTGCTCTGCTTGTGTTTTAGCTAACTTGGCTTGTTGCACAAGCATTTTATACTTGTGATAGTATGTGGTTGGCTCTCCGCGGCCATTATAAAATCGTCCTATTAGTTTGCCTACGTAAGTGTAGTCTTTATTGTAAAATTGTTGCCAATTTTCCAAGCTGATGAGATCATTGGGTCTTAATGAGACAACGTCATCGGCCTTATCGTCTTCATAATTTTCGAATTCACTACTAACAAATGAAACAGATGCGTCGCGTCCAACAAAGAAATTATACGCACAACCCGGTCCATAATGCTTTCTACCTTTGGTTACATCAAAAACATGACCCAGTATGGCCAAATATATCGGTGCGTTGTTTTCGCCATTGAATTTTGCCAAATCATCACGCGTAAAAAGCCTCTCTCCTGGCGTCTGCGTCTCGTCGTTTTCATAATGCACTGCTAAACTTTCACCTTCCGGTTCCACATACTTTTCCACCATCCACTTAACAATTTGATTATAGTAAACGCCGGCTAAAACCGCAGCAATTATTAGCAGGAATTGTAGTTTAAAAAGATGTTTCACAAACTCGAACATTTCCAGCTGGCCAAAAGGCAATTGATTTGTTTACCTCCTAAATGTAAATATGTTTTGAAATCAACTCTAGGGTTGCCATGTAAAATGAAAATGTTTTGGAATGTATAAAATTTGCTGGAGAAATTTTAAGGTAATACTTGGGAGTGTTTATTTTGGTAATAATTCTTATAATTTAATTGAATACGTCCAAGGGTGAATATGTCCAAGGGTTTAGGTATGTAAAAAAATGCATATTTGTTCCACGTGCCTGACTGTGCTCTAGTTAGTCAAAATTTTATTTAATATATAAAACTTTTAATAATTGAAGGACATACTTCCAATTGTTGTTGTTGTTGTAGCGGTTCACTAACCTCACTTATGGACAGGCTGGTTAATGTAAGTCACCGAGGTCATCTAACGGAAGGTCCAGGAAACGAGTAGTTTCGACGGGCTCGAACCAGAGAGGAAGGGGAGTAGATGTAGTAGCAGTAGATGCCGTGCGCTGACTCTTTACACGCAGAACATACGTTGGGTGTGCCAGTGTCGAGTCTGGATAAATAGGAGTTTAACCTGCTACAGTATCCAGACCTAAGTTTCGCTAGTATTACGCGTGCCTCTCGAAGCAGCTCGAGCTCTTCGTTTGATATTGATTGTGATTTAACTCCGAGTACGCCATTTACAGGAAGTGAGTTTTTGAAGGTGTTGACTCATTTTTGGTGAATTGCGTGCAGTGCCTGTCTGTACTCTGTCCTGTCCAATGGTTTTTGTAAATATTATTGGAGAGCGAAGAAGTGCAGGCTATCAAATGTGACTCTCAGTATATTTGGGTTATTTACGCGAAGGCAAAACTTAAGAGGACTTTCCCATATAGTTTGGGCACTCCCCTGAATAGCAAAGCTCTTAGATGTTTAAGACAAGTTCTAGATAACGCAGTCAGACACAGATGAGAAATTGCTACGTTGTACTCACTCCTGCCACTTTACACTTCTCACAGAGAACTTGGAACTCTCCTGCACCATCTTCCGGATCTCCCAGAACCTCTAGCGACTTGCATATTTTCTATGCGAGATTATTGCCTAAACATCCGCCGGGCTTTCAACGTATATGTTGATGTTTTTGATATGGTTTCGTCGTAGATCTACAGCTGAAGAATACTACAGTTGTCTGGAAGCTTGAAGGCTTCCGATGCCCACTCCGTCAGCAATGTTTTATCCGTCCATGTAGTTGCTGTACTGCGATTTTATAAACCTTGTTGAACATTCAAAATTATAGGAAAAATAATGGTCACCACTCGCCCCACTGTGGATGCGTTTCTGATATAAGGTAGAAAGTTCCCCATAAAAATCCATCACCCTGTCGGAACGGCTTAAAAAAAACTTAAGCATCTCCATCTTCTTTTCAATTTCTAATAAATCTAAAATTTCCCAGAAAAATAAACCCGTTTCTTACTGTTCGTGATATGGGGAAAATTTTTTTCAAAAGAAACTTTGCTGCCAAGAAATTTCGTAGATTTTTTCATTTTCAGTTATTCAAATAAAATATATTTTATTTGATTTTGCTGTCCAAATTAAACAACATTTTTACCAGTTAGAGCTATTTTTTTATTTAATTATTTGCTATAAAATCCTCTTCTAATGGACAAACCGTTGACGAAGGTAAATCAGGTAATGCACAATGCGATTTTTGTGGTACTATGACGGAAGGAGCGATAAGAAAATTATTATTATTATTTTTTTCCGTTTCCAGAGCAATGAGTCGAGCATTTCAACCACCGGTACCACGGGCTCACCACAGTTTTCCGACACTTTGGAGAACAATGTTAAGTACATGAAGTGAGTTTGGGAGTATGCAAATATCCCGACATTAACGGCAGATATTAATGATAACGCTGTGTCTTTTATTTTTCTAGTTTAAATTTCGTTGACAATTCAGAGTCTTCCAGTCAAGCAAAAGAACAACCCATTGATTACCAAAAGCTACCGCGTAAGTGCGCTCTCTCTTTGCCTGTACTTTTTCCCACACACACTATCCAACCTCTCTCAAAACCAATAATAATATGTTTTTTTTTTTAACAGAAACATTTGATGCCATCGCCCCTAAGACCACAAAACCACCGCCGAGTAAGATATTACCATCAAATATACCGTTACCCGGTAAATATGAACAGAAACCGAAAACCCTTTGTACGCTCAAAGAGAAATCTCTACTGGAAATGGGTTTCAAAACGAATGAGATACAAGGTTGGGAGGATATTGTGCAGCCGCCCAAAGAGAATCTCTATAAACTGTTACGTAACATGATTGACAATCACATTAAACCGAACGTGCAGATACGCATCGGTGGTGTCACCTTCAACTGTCACATGATGGTGTTGCAGTGTTACTCGGATTTCTTTATGGAATGTAATAATGAGGTGCTAATACAACTGCCCGAAGAGAAGATAACACCGGGCGCTTTTATGATGGTCTACGATTGGATGTTGGCTGAGGAGCCACTGGTGCAGCGTGAGGGCATACTGGAGCTGTTCAATGCAGCCAATTTTTTACGCATCAAAAATCTCGTTAATCAATGTTGGCTCTGCTTGGATGATGATGTGCGCTTCCGTGAAGACACGGCTTTTCTGCTCTATCTGGAGGCACGCACTTATGGTTTGGAGAGTTTGGAACAATTGATGTTGACACGAATTTGTAAATTTTTTCTCACACTTGTCGCTTCAAAAGAATACCTGGAGCTGACGACGAAAGAGATTTGCACGTTATTGAGCTCGAATACGATTGGTGTGTATTCGGAAATCGATGTAAGTATTTAATTATGAATTTTAGATGATTAAAAGTATTCAAGAGAGAAGAGGAAGAGCACATTAATAAATTGGTTGTGGATTAAATTTACGGAGATTTATGAATCAAGGAAGCTGATCCTGTTAGAAAGCTCAGCTAGATAGTATCTTGAACGACAACGTTTGAAAAGCTTCACATAACAAAGACCTCTTACATTTCTTCGGACGTCTGCATAGTTACAGACGACTTAAGGGGGCCCAAAACAAATGTGTTCAGACTTGATGCGATATACTCTCCACACACCGAGCGTTAACCGTATAATAATAATAACTCGGTTGCTAAAATAAATGAAAACTTAAAAGAGGGAGAACTGCTCTCAAACTCCTAAGAGAACGAAATCTCTCCTACAACTTTCTGAGTACCGAAATTACATCTTTATTCAGAGAGAGTGCTTTGACTTTCTTCCAATTGGTGGTACCAAGTGAAGCCAGATCATTCTCAACTTGATCCTTCAAACATTTTGGAAAGCCTTCTCTTTTTCTGTTTTCGTCAACGGGTACTGTATTGGTAGCTTTCAAAACTGTAGGCTCATACAGATGACATGAACTAACCAACTTGCAGCATTCGTCGTCATTAATGCGCAAAGGGTCATAAATCTTGAGCAAAAAAGTTGCTTTCCTCTCGACAGCAAGTTGAGGTGGAGGCTAAATATTGTTGGGTTTCACATGGAGCCCTTTATGCATCCTTTCGCATTGGTTCTACGTTGCTATACTATGGTGGAGGTCAGCGAAAAGACTATATATATGAAAAGGCTGGTAAGAGGCTTTAGACTCTCGTCGGCCAATATTGTCGAGGTTCCTAAAACAACACCATCAACAGTGCGAGTTTATTGCCAAAAACGGCTCCAAGGCTGCCCGCCTCAAATCAGCTGTGAGTCACGATTTACGGACACTGTAGTTTTTGTTATTCTTAAGAATTCGATTAGACAAAAATTCACCGTGTCTAACTTTCCGGAAGTTTTTGGCAGCTATAGTAGAGGCAGACGGAAGGAGCATATCTGTACAGTTGGTTCTAAAATGACTAGTGAAGTAGGTTTGCTATAGAAATGACAGGAGAGAGTTGGGCTACACAAAAGCAGGCTTCATATTAATGTTGATAGCCAAACGGCCATCAGATGGTAGTTGTTACTCTATGTAAGAATGCGTTCAAAAGACTGACAGAGAAAAGAAAAGTCCACCTTTTTTGGGTACTAAAGCAAAAGGGGATCGAAGGCAATAAGCTAGGCAATAAATAGGCTAAAGAGTAAACACTTTCGGAAAAGGTTCTAACTACGTACTTGCCAGCTCCTCTTGTACTAATATGTAGACCCGCTAACGAACAATGCGGAAAAGCGAAGTTTATTGCAAAACAAATGACCCAAAGGTTACTAGGTTCTTATACACATAGACACATATATATTTTGTAACCAATGAAGTGATTTTCGTCCAATCGCGTACTGCCATTCTGAAAGCCAAGGTTCAAGCTATGGTTTGACCAAAATTTCAATTTATAAATGTCTATCCCTCCGAGTGTATTTCTCTTTTCAAAATCTATCGGCTGTTCGGCTACGGCTTAGAATAAACTATAGATCCGGCCATTTGTTGGAAAACATCAAGTCGCATACCACAAATCGATGGAGGAGCTCGACCGAAAATTACTAGGTGCTTACTAGTGATAAATTATTTAAACTCCAGGCTGCTAATACGCCTACTAACTGGGTCTATGAAGCGCCATCATGCCTTCAAATTAAGTCTGGTTGATGACAGCAAATTCAGAAAATGCAGAGAGTGTTCAGCGCCTATAGAGCTCGTAATATGTGCGTGCCCTGCGCTGGGCGGATAGAGGTCGAACACACTTAGTGAGTAGAGTAATATTCTGTAAGCTGCAGCCCCAACATGAAGTGTAGAGGTAGACAAGCACAGAGGTCACATTAGAATATCCCAACGAACTCTCCGGAATATTTATTGTTGCGAATTAATTGAATTAGTAGAAAAGTAATAAATATTCCTTTTTCCTTTAAGATCTTCATGTCAGCTGTGCGATGGTTGAATTACCATTGGGAAGAACGCGAAGCCGATATGTTGCAAGTAGTGAAATGCGTGCGTTTCAGCTTGATGCCACCCTGGTTTCTAGTAGCGCTGAACAAAAATATCGATTGTGTAGAAATCGACCGCATCGCTAGTCATCCAGAGGTGAAACGTATGATAAACGATGGCATATCGTAAGTTTTTTTGATTGTATCTAATTTAAATAACGGCATTATTAATACTGTTAAATACTGTTTCAGTTACAACACAACTCAACTGTACTATCGTGAGAATCGTGAGGAGTTTCTCCACTTTCTCGAACGCTATCAACTGGTGGCGCCTGTGCAACGTCAGTGGGTTCTCGATAAGGAATGCAGTTATCATCACCATTTGGAATGTCCTAATATGCAAAATGTCACGTATAAATCATTTTTGGAATATCTCGAAATGATACATACAATCGGCAAGGATTATTGGCGTTCACTGGAAATGGCGAAGGGCGTGGAGAAGTCGTTGCAATGTTGCGTACGCTCTGATTGCCGAAAATTGAACGAGCAAAATTTAGTATGTTAATACATATATCTACAAATACATATGCATATATATATTTTTTTACCAAATCGCCTATATACATACATATATTTTAGAAGTTTCGATACGAATATACGATATTTTAATTAGAAAATACAAAATGATGTAGCAAGTGTATATTGTTCGCTATGATTTGATTTAATATAAAATTTTTGTTGTAATTTGTAATTCGGCATTTACGTGTATATAAAAAAATTAATGTGATTTGTTGTAATTTTCTTTAAAGAAATTTAAATATATAGAAACAATTTTAATAAAAACTCTCGGATATTTGATTTCCCTTTCTCTTTTTCTTGTCTGCTTTACAGGCCTCGGTATTTACGATGCAATGCCGCGATCAGGGCGTACAAGTGGAGACGAGTTTAAGGCAGCGCAAGCCACTTCCCAGAGGTAAAGTGCGATTTTTGTGGAAATTGAATTTATTGCGTGAGAGAGAGAGAGAGAGAGAGAGAGAGAAAGACGTATATACATACGTATGTATACACTGTGCGCATTTCTAACCACTGAAGCGATTTTCGGCGGAGCTCCTCTCCAATTCGTGGCGTGCTTTTCGATGTTTCTTTCTACAAATGGATGGACTTACAGTTTATACAAAACCGCGAACGGCTGATGGTATTTTTTTATGAGGAGCTTTATTGCATGCCAAAAATACACTCGGAGGGGTGGGGACATTCCCAGCCGTGGGGCGATCGGAATTAGAAAAATTTTTCTTAAAATTAATTTTCTACAATTTTTGGATGTTGGTCGCAGCAGAGCGGCTCTTATAGTTTCCAAGTCAGATCCTCTGCCTTCTAAGTAAGCCTCTCTACCTTTCAAATAATCACACCTTCCAAGTCAGTTCCTTGCTCTTCTGAATCATTTACCCGCCTTCCAAGTCAGTTCCTCGGTTTTCTAAATCATTTAACCGGTATTCAAGTCATCGCCAACCTTCCAAATCAAGTAAGTTGCTTCAAATCCAAGTAAGTTATTATGCCCTTTCAAGTCATCTTCTATGTTTCAAAGTCACGTCCTCCGCCTCAAAAGTGTAGCCCAAGTCAGCTCTTCTGTCTCCCAACTCTGCTCCACCTTCTAAGTCCTCACTAGAGAAAAGTTTGGTCAGAAAGATGGCGAAGGTGATGGCAAGTCTAATGTAAATTACTATTAGCGATGGTCTGGTTTCCAAGTCAGCTCCCTTGTCTTCCAAATTTGCGCTCTTGACTTCTCCGCTATACAAGTAAGTTGCTTTGTCTTCCAAGTCAATCTTCCGCCTTTCAAGTCAGCTCCTATAGCTTTCAAGTCAGCAGTTCTGCTTTAGAAGTGAGCTTCTTCGCCTTCTAAGTAAGTTTTTATATCTTCAAAAACAGCTCTTCGCGTCTTCTCCACTGACTTCTTATTCAGCTGCTCTGCATTATTAGTCAGGGGTGGTAAATAGGTTGGGCAAAAAAAGGGCAATAATGATGGCAAGCTTAACATTTCCATTTATGATGAATTCACATTGGATTACAAAGAAACTTCTGTGGAAGAAGAGCATTGAGAGCATGAATAAGGCGCAAGATATAATCTTTCAAAAGCTCTGCTGATTTTGATTGATGGAGGTTGTAACATTCCACAGTTTGTCGAAAGCACCACTACTGATAATGGTTCAAGCAACAGTACAATAATTATAACTGTTTTTAACTCTGCGCAGATCCTCGCGTTTATGACGATCAAACCACAACCCTAATGAATTCTACGAGCCTAAAAAATCTTAGTAAAATCACCACAAGTCATGTGCTAGCCTCTACCGCATCCAGTTGCTATGAGTTTCAATACGGAACATCATGTGAACAACACCACCACAGGCCCCACCGACATCCACCGCATTACGCACAATTCCAAGAACTAAATCCACAACCATTAAAGTACAATTACCAATACAACAGTAAAAGTCACAATACATATGAAGACAATGGACTCGTCCCAGATGAGTTGCATGAAATGAAGTGTGATGCTCACCGAATACGGAATGATGAATGTGAGCAACACAACAATGAGACGCCGTACAATGATACACGTCTCGACGCCGGCGGTTGTATGCACAATCAGAGTGCGGCTACTGGTTATGTGGCGGGCAGTGGTGCTGGTGGTGGAGATGGTGCCAAGACAATAGTACACCCAATGAGTCTACATCCGAAGGCCTGCTCTCAAACGGCCCACAACAATGTTGGTGAATCCAACACAACAATTGTAACACGCAAAGGATATCGCAATGAACCGCCTAAGGGACTGGAGCGGAAGCAGCATGTGACACAAATAACGGCAGCACCGTTGTTTGGTTTGCCCACCGTGGAGGAGATCGAGTTTAGAGCGTAAGTTTGTTGAGGAAACCTCAAGTTGAATGGAAAAAGTGGTTAAAAACCTAAAATATTTTCCTTGTATACCTTAAAGCATAAAAGGTCGTAAAATCCTCATATTCGGTGGTATTGATCCCTACTGCCAGCATTGCCAACATGACAAATTGATGGCCGTGCAGGAGGAACAACGTAGACGAGCGAAAATTTTGGGTGGCAGTGATGCTGATAATTTGGATCCATTGCCCTATCAGACCGGTGTTGGTGGTTGCAATTCGTGTGGTGGTGTAAATCCTCAAGCTAGTCAACTCGACAATTATGGTGATCGCGTTCTTTACTACCACAGTGGCGCTGCACAATGGAAGCATTTGTGTTATTTGCCATTTGGTTCGAGGCATCATCATGCCGCGGTTGTTTGTAATGGACTCATCTACATCGTCGGTGGTACGAAGACGGCACTGGGTTGCACTAAGAAGTCGGTGAGTAGAGTTTATAGAGGGCTCAATGAAGATTGAGTGCTTGAGCACTCGCTAAAATATATTAAATGCTATTAAAAGCTCGGCTCTGAGAACACAAATTTTAGGGTTAAGTGGGTTTAGTTTAAGATGGTGTATACGAAATCATTACAAAAATATATGAGTACTCGGTCTAAAATTTGAAAAAGTCTCTTCAGGGTTCTAAAGTTTGCTTCTAATGCTTATCGGTGTACTTAAATATCTACGTTTGAGTGCCTTCTAAACCTTATCAAGCACAATGGTAATAGAAAGGGTGATGTTGTTGTTGTTGTTGTAGCGGTTCTTGAAAAGGTGATAAAGCCTGTCGTTGTTATTAGAGCGGACAGGAGTTCTGGGAATCGAACAAAATAAATGAGGTCATACCAGAACTGGGATTGTTAGTCGGGAATCAAGCTTGAGTTGAGTTTTGATGGTAATCTACAGCCCGCTTAACATACGAACATGGAGGGATAGATTTATTCTATTTAAGGCTTTACTGAAACCATCTCCCTTTACCAGAGATGCGGTTGTAAGCAGGCGGCGGTACTAAAGAAAGTGGCCCGGCGATGTTGTGCACAAAGTTTGGCAAACACTACTTCGAAATCATCTCCAACGAACAACTAATAAAGGTTGGGACTACAATGTTAAGTTTAATGCTCTTTAGGCAACCTTTAGTTAGCATTTTCGCTGTAACGAAGTAAGTCTTAGAAGCTCCCGCCTCCACATCTGATACAGTGATGCGAACAACAACTTCAAAGGGAACCTTTAAATTACCTTTCTTTAGTGTCACGAGTACGACCAGAAGTATTCTCGATAGTTTATACGAGAAAACATATCTACTAACGAGATTCTTATAGCTTTATTGTTCTCTCAGAGCTTTTGTTTTTATCTAACTGTACATAAAACTGTGTGAATCCTAAAGCAACTTTGCTGTATTCGAAAGCCACTCACTTAAGAGGGCGGACAGAGAATCTTTCTTGTTTGGTTACTTTATTTTGGAGCCTGTTTATAGTGGTTGGTTAGAAGTTTAGGTATATTCGGAAGAAAATAATAATAACTGAAACATTTTTATTTACGGTAGATTTTCGAAAAATCCGTTTGGAGCTTCGATCCACTATCCCTGAAATGGTCTTTTGAGTGCAATTTGCCAGAGCTGCGTCGCGATTTTGCGGCCATTGTTAGTGACGAGTATTGCGGTGGAGAAGTACCGTGTGGGCATTTGAAAGGCCTGAAGGAACCGCCGAAGGTGAAAAATGTCAAAAGTGTTAGTGGTTTTTTTGTGATTGGCGGTGAAGGGGTTAATGGTTCAGCACTGCGTACGGTGTGGTACTATAATGTACTGAGGAAATTATGGAAAAAGGTAACTTACTTAAACAAATTTATTAATTACGAAGTTTTAAATAAAGAATGAGCAAATTATTAAATAAATTATTAAAAAGTTAAATAGCAAAAGCTAAGAATAACTTACAAATAAATGATTAACAAAATAAATAAATTATTTTATTAAACAATTTAATAAATAAATAAATTGCTAACGAATAAATAAAAAAAATAATGAGTAAATTAAATAATCAATTAATATAACTAAATGAATAATTCATTAAAAAATAAATAAATTTACTAAATAAATTATTATATACGATGTAAATAAAGAAATGAAAAATAAATTAGTAAAAACTAAACGAAAAATTAAATATTATATAAAAATATTATATAAAAATATCAAATAGTTAATAACGAAATACTTATTATAAAAGGAAAAGTAATTTAAGTACTAATAAAGTAGGAAATATAAATAAATTAACTTCTTCCCCTTATACCCGAATTTATTATAGCACGCCATTCATCCCTTTCTTGTGCTGCTTGGCGCCAGTTGGAAATACCAAGTCTTTCCAACGGAGTGCGGTTACTGCATCGAAAACTTTCAAAGCTGGAGTTTTCGTATCCATCCGGACCACATGACCTAGCGAGCGTAGTCGCTGTCTCAATGTCATCATATAGCTCGTACGGCTCATCGTTCCATCGTCTGCGGTATTCGCCGTTACCAATGCGCAAAGGACCATAAATCGTTCGCAAAACTTTTCTCTCGAAGCTTCTCAAAGCCGACTCATCAGCTGTTGACATCGTCCACGCCTCTGCGCGAGACGAGTATGATGAGCGACTTGTAGAGTTTGGTTTTCGTTCGCCGAGAGAGGAGTTTACTTTTCAATTGCCTACTCAGTCCAAAGTAGCAGCTGTTGGAAAGAGTAATTCTGCGCTGGATTACAAGGCTGACATTATTATTGGTGTTAATGCTGGTTTCTAGATAGACGAAATTATCTACGATTTCAAAGTTATGACTGTCAACAGTGACGTGGGAGCCAAGTCGCGAATGCGACGACTGTTTTTTTGACGACAGGACCACACCCATTCGCTTCGCTTCTTTATTAAGCCTGGAGAAAGCAGAACTAACAGCGCGGCTGTTGAGGCCGATAATGTCAATATAATCGACGTACGCCAGTAGTTGTACACTGTTATAGAAGGTTGTACCCTCTCTTTTTAGCTCTGCAGCTCTATTTATTCTTTCCAGCATCAAATTGAAGAAATCACACGACAAAGAGACACCCTGTCTTAAATCTCGTTTGGTAACGAACAGCTTGGAGAGGTCCTTCCTAATTCACATCGGCGTAGCTACCTTTTCGTGCTATCGAGGGCGGCTCTAAAATCGGCAAAGTTGTGGTGTGAGTCGATCCTATTTTCACGGATTTATTCCAAGATTTGGCGCATGCTGAACATCTGGTCAATGGTTTACTTACCAAGTCTAAAGCCACACTGATAAGGTCCAATCAGTTTGTCGATGGTGGGCTTTAGTCTTTCCCCCAAAACGCCCGATAGGACCATATACGCGATGTTAAGGAAATGCACACTCTGGGACCACCTTTTTTGTGGTTCCAATCGTCGGGCATGCCTTCATCGGACCATATTTTGCAAAAAAGCTGATGCATGCACCTTGTCAGCTCTTCGCTGACATGTCTGAATAGTTCCACCACTTTGTTGTTTTTTAAGCAATCGCTACTCGAACTTCGACATGGTCAGATAGCGGATCGTCTGTTCCATCGTCGATTGGGATTTCGTGTTCACCATCTTCGGATGTTTCATTTTCACTGCCGTTCAGGAGGCTAGAAACGTGTTCCCTCCATAAATTCAGTATACTCTGGGCATCCATCACTAGATCACCCCTCTGGGTTCTACAAGAGTTTTCTCCGGTCTTAAATTGAATTTTCGAGTATTACCCTTGTCGACCAGCTTCTTGGGCTTTTCGTACTCTATCTTTTTTTGCATGCAAATGCGTCTTGCTTCTCTGTTCAGCTCTCGATATCTATCCCATCCCGCACTTGTTGCAGTCGATAGCAGGGTTGCGAGTTAGGCAGTCCTCATCGTACCAGCTGTTTTTCTGTTACTGCCAAAAACCAATTGTTTCCGTAGTGGCGGTATGTAGGGAGTTTGAGATGAGTGCTCTCAGAAAGCAGGTGAGCAAGCCGGGTTAAAAATCGCTCGGAAATCTGTTGTGATTGCAGCCTTTCGACGTCGAGCATTCCTTGTGTTTGTTGACGGATGCTGTTTGATACACAGAGGCGTGTACGTATCTTCGCTGCAACAAGATAGTTATCCGAGTCGATGTTGGGTCCTCGGAGTGTACCCCCGTTATGAACGCTCGAGGCATGTCTTCCGTCTATTACAACATGATCGATCTGGTTTTGCGTGTTTCGATCAGGGGCCAACCAAAGAGTTTGGTTAATTTTCTTGTGTTCGATTCTAGAGCTGTAGACAACCATATTTCGGGCCCCGTTGAAGTCGTTCAGCCTCAACCCATTTGGGCTTGGGCGCAAATCAACACAATGTTAAACAACTTCGCTTTGTTGCGGATTGTGGCTATATGTTCATCCACAGGTGTACTGGCATTCACACCAGTGGATGAGCGATGGAGTCTCTCCCCCACTACGAATCCGAGACCGAATTGCCCTCCTTTAAATGGCCGCTGTAGTGTATATCACCGACCCACCTTCTTCCGTCCTTGTCCCGTCCATCGCATTTCTTGGACAGCAGTGATGTCAGCATTTAATTTTATGATGACATTAAGCAGCTAGGCAGCGGTACCTTCCCAATTAAGAGACCGGACATTCCAGGTGCATGCCCTCAAATCGTAATCCTAAAAATATTTGCGGGAGGGTCTCTCATCTGAGGCATAATAAAAATTTTCAACCAAAAAAAAAAAAAAAAATTAAAAATAAAATAAATAAATAAAAAAAAATAAAAAAAAAAATAAATAAAATAAAAATAAAAAACCTATTTAATTAATCAAATTGATAACTAAAATAATAATTAATAAAAATATAAATAAATACAAAAGAATAATACATAAATGAACTAATTAATTTATAAAAAATAAGTAAGTAATAAGAAATTATGATTTTTTAATAAATAAATAATTAAATGAATAAATTATATTAATTAACAACTAAATAAAATACTGACAAAATAAAAAACAAAATAATTTATATTAAGTAGTAATTAAATAAATAATAAAATGGTTAAAAATAAAAAAATGAATAAAGAAATTGATAAAAAAAAATTAATAAAAAATTGAAAATGAGAAAATGAGTAATAATGAATCAATGCAATAATTAATTATCATGAATAAATACATTAATTGTTAAATTAAATAAAAAAAGAAAATCAAAAAATAATTCATTTAATAATTATAATAAATAACAAAAATAGCTAAACAAATTTTTAATAAATAAATATTCAATTAGAAATATATAAATTAATTAAATTAATTAAATATCAATAAATAATTATACTTATTTATAAATAAATATTTTATTAACAAATATGGTTACCGCCTCCAAATTTCTGCTTTTGCATACACATACTTCAACACTACATATGTATGTATTTATGCATGTATTTGATGCCTATTTTACAACATTTGCCTGTCATTTATGGATTTCAGAAAGCCCCTTTGAATGTGGGTCGCTATGGCTTGATGGCTGCTATGGTGAATAACGAGATTTGGATAGCTGGCGGCATAATCGAAACCAAAACGAGAACAATTGACATCTATAACGGTTTCGTCGCTGCCACTACAGTAGCGGCAGCAGCGAAGGGGACTAATACTCACAGAAGCGGTTTCGGTGCAGGTGGCGTCGGTGACGGTGGACATGCAGCAGACAATGGTAGTGGTGACAATTTTGCTGCCGAGGCAACAAAAAGCACAATCGTCGATGTAATCACTGATACGATGGAGTATTATAGCTTGAAGTGTGCTTACATCGACGAATACGTTTCGGATATGTTGCCAATGGCTAAAGTCAATGATGTGAATGGTGATGCTGCTCCAGTTGCCATCCCTACTGCCGGTGTAGTTGATGGTGGTGGAGGCATGTTACCGCCTACAATTGGTCGGTTGGGTGGTGGCGTTGAAGTCGGACGTTGGATTAAGGCGAAACAGCGTTTGCGTATACCACGGTAAGCGGTTTAAATTTTGACTTTTGATGAAAAATACTGATGTGGAAGTAATCAATATGGCTGTGTAGAGATTAAATTTGATATGAAACAGACAGACAGTACGTATTGGTATTGCTCGGTATAATGCATGATTATTTGAATCGAGAACTGCATAATAATTTATAAGAGCAGTGAGACGGTATTCATTTTAAGCCGATTGAAAAAAATCGGAAAACAAAAAGTTTGATTTGTAGATAATGAATTTTAAAAAACAATTCGAAAAACAGTGAAGCGAATGTGAGAGTGATAGCACAATAAATAATTTCAAATTGGCTTGGTCAAAGTTAAGTAAAATAGAGTTTAATAAAATAGTATATATATATAAACAGTAGTATCTGTTAGGATCAGACTTGCAGTCAACTGCTCGATGCTGGATTTGCACGACTACCGCAGCCAGAAAAATGTTGCAGAGCCACTGGAGTCAGTCAATGCCTTCGCGGTAGTATTTACCCACCACTCAAAGCGCTTGAGTTGCCCCTTGAGACCAAAGCAAAACTGGTACAAACAAGATCATACAGTTACAGTAGTGTTCTCTATTTCTCTTTTACTTTTATGTTTACTTTTACTTTTACTTTCACTTTTACTTTTACTTTTACTTTTACTTTTACTTTTACTTTTACTTTTACTTTTACTTTTACTTATACTTTTACTTTTACTTTTACTTTTACTTTTACTTTTACTTTTACTTTTACTTTTACTTTTACTTTTACTTTTACTTTTACTTTTACTTTTACTGTTATTGTATTACCTCGAAACAGCTAAGCCTTCAGTAAGATAGCTTCGATCACACCGACAAGCTTTGCCTGCCTTTAATTAACGGTTGCCTAGCTGCAGTAACAACAACAACTCGTTAAATTATTATATTATTGAACGACTCTGCAGAAATACGAACTCTTTTCACTGTTTCTTCATCTCTTTAACAACATATGGGAGTAAAGGTTTTCCAATGTTAATATTAGGGTTGGATTGCTAATTTTTAAGTGTTTTGTTCCTTTTGGCTCACGGGTGAGGTTTCTGCTTTGCCAGCTCTCACTGGATACCACTCTTCCTGTGAAATTGGTTCTAATATGAAGCAAAAATCTCTGGTCAGAAGGCACAATGTACCCCTGATGCGGACTCAAAAAAATGTTTGAGATATGTATATGTATGTATAAGTTAAGAACGAGTAAAAAAGATGTGTTGTTCTTTGAATTTTGTCTCTCTCTAATTTTTTTTTTGCTAATTATTGGACTATACTTTTCGACGATATATTATATAAATAAATATTAGTGTTTTAGATTCACTTTAGCTAGGAAGGATTTAGATTTTTTTCTAAGTCACCTATAATGGACTTTTGTGAAATATTTGCAAGACAAGATTTTACTCGTTGGTGCTTAAAATAAACTTTCAATAATTTTGAATATTGATTTGGTCAGGATCCGAGTTCATGACTGATTGATGGGCGAAATCAACTTTTTAGTAGTGCTGTTATCAAAGCTCAGATTTTTTTAATTTATTTAGAAATATTAAACCTAACATACATACATACAATAGCTTTTCCCATAAACTATCGAAAATGCAATTCAATACCTGGAAAAAATTCCTTATAACCATTAAAATATATTTATTTTTCTTCAGACTTTTCGGCAAATTCTGTAGACCTTCAGAAAATGAATTATACGTCGTTGGTGGCATTGGATTCAATTCGGAGAATATCCTAACATCTCTGCCCTCTTTGGACCACTATAACTTTAGTGAAGGGCGTTGGCATCACTATGGCGATATGGAGTGGGCGAGGTATGATAATTTGTTGCTTAGGCATTTCACACCTTTTATCACCTCATAGTTTGCAACTCCTACACAAAGGTCATTAAAAAGCGATTAGTTGTGAAACAATTTCGTTGCAGACAAATGTAACATTTTCTCACTTTATCACTTACGTATTTGTAACGCTTTTTATTGTGCAACACTTTCATTTCATTCATTAATTTTACATATTTTCCCCCAAATCAACACAGACATGGGCATGATATTGCCACACTTAATGATAGTATTGTAATTATTGGCGGCGTTTCTACAATCAAAAAATGTACACTAACAAAAGTGGAAACATTTTGCATGAAAACGCGTAGAAATCTTAAGGACATACCAGAATTGCCTTGGCCATTGTCTGGTAGTGCGGTGCTCGCTTTAGATTGATTGATTTTCAGAAGCGAGTAGAGATCAGCAATCACTTGTTGTGGGTCAACAGCGTGTAGATCAACAATAATGACAACGATTGGAAAACAGCGTCTCGCTGACAGCGAGTGGCGACAAATAGAGATTACAATGTGCAATTGGGCATGCAGATATTGAAATGTTTTTGTTTTAGGTTACTCTCTTATTTATTAAATAATTTCGTATATTTATATTGAATTGTTAACAATGAAAATATATTAAATTAAATTTATTAAAAATCTTTTAACTTACATTATATAATTGACGCCTTGTAACCGCTGGAGCCATTCTCGGACGTTTCTCTCCTCCAATTTGTGGTCCTACGTCTTGATGTTTATCCAACAAATGGAGGGATCTATAGTTTATACTAAGGCGCCTTCGAACGGCTGATGGTTTTTTACGAGGAGGCTTTATTTCATGTCTCAAATACCCTTCCATAACTTTTGGATGTTGGTGGCACCGGGATATGGCCCCGAGCTAATTTAAGTTTATATCATATTTTAAATAACATTTTCTAAATATTCTCAGTAACAATATTTTCAAGTGCTCACTTTAAATTCCAATCGTTGATTCATATTGAATTTAGTGCAATTTCTTCCATGCTCCCAACAACAACAAAAAAACACCTCAATCCTCTATTAATACTTTTTTTTTCTATTCCGCATTGTTGCTGTACACGCGCTAACAACACAAGTACACGCAATGAAATTGTGCTGTTGCCTCATTTATCTTCCATGTCGTGTTGTTATATTTCATAGTGCCTCCTGTTGACTCCAGCGTAGGAAGTGTGTTGGCTGTCGGCACTCCAACAACGTTTTTACCTCTTTTTGTCTTTTATGAGCTACATACAATGTTCACATAATATATATGTATATACGTATAAACTTATAGGTAAATAAGTACATAGCAAAAATATCAGTTGGAAAAAAAATTGAAACAACAGCAATATCAGCAATGTCGCTGCTACAACCCGCCGGTACCAGTCGCCGTTTCCGTATCCTTTCGTTTCCGCTTATACACATATATATTCGTATATATATATTTATAGCATGCTGTGATGATTGCAAGACAACATCATTTATTTAAAACACTTCTCAAGTAAACCTACTAACATTGACAGCTACGTTTGGGAAAACGTTGAATATTGACAGAAAAGGTTGAAAAGGTGAAATAAAAACCAAATGACTGATTGGATGAAACGTTTTTGTTGATAATTGCGATGACAAAGAAATAGAAAGAGTGAAAGGACCGAAATATCATGGTCATTTGATTTGGCAGATTATAGAAATAATGTAAATAAAAGCTGCCGAAACAAAAGGAAATACAAAAAAATGTTAAGTATAACTCGTGCTCATCATCATTAACGGTAATGGCAGTAGTAATAACGAAAAGGTGGCAATATACTTAGTAAAATGTATGGATCTCTATTATAAATAGATATAAAAAAAAGCCGAGAAGGCGCCAACTAGATCTGCTTATTATGTATAAATAATACTAAACATACAAACATAAAATAAAACAAGAAATAAGCGCTGGCTCTGGCCATTATACCATTCATGACCGTACCCAATTTCTGGTAAATCATTTCATTATGCTATAATCATCTGAAATATCAAATACTAGGAAATAGATGTATGCGAGTATATGCCATAAAGGTTCGATCTGACCAAATTTGGTCAAAATATCTGAAAACCTAAGAGACTATCTTGCGATCAAACTGACGGACAGACTGACAACGCAAAATAACTCAAGTCGTCAGTCTGGCACAATCGGGATAAATTCTCTCTTTCAAGTAACTACATTTGTACTTCGTACCAAAGTTAATAGTTATATCATTTCATGTACTTAAAGGTATACAAGTTGTAGAATTTAATGAAGAAAATATAAAAAAAGTAAAAAAAAAATTATATAATTAAAAAAAAAATACAAAAAATAACATAATATTTGTTAATATATAAAATAAAATAAATAAGTTAAATTTAAACATATTAAATTAATAAAACTAAAATAAAATAAATTAGAATAATATAAAAAGTAGAATGATACAAAATTAAATATAATGCAATATAAAAGTATAAAAATGTTACATAACTTACAATTAAATAAAATAACATAAAATAAAATAAATTAAAATGAGGTAAAAGAATAAAAAATAATTATAAATAAAAATAAATAAATTGAAACAAAAAGATAACATAATATTCAAAAGTAAAATAATATGAGATATTATAAAATAAAATAACTTAAATCGAAATTATTTAATAACTAAACGCTACAAACTTTATGAGGACATTACTAATACAAGCATATTTGCAATATTGCTTTTATAAATAGGAATCAAGCACTCAGTTAACCTACTACCGTAGAAGTAGTTTTTATGGTTACATCTGAAAAATAATTATTAATTTTGCAATTACTTTATTGTAGTGCCATAAACCATGTCCAAGCTCAGATGAGCATTGAGAAAATATAACGATTTAAAGAAAATAAACATTAATATACGAGTATTTTAAAAATAGTGATTGAAATCATCGATTGATTTTAAATTTCAAACTAGCCGAAAAAAAGAAGTATTTATTTATTAAAAATTTTCATTTTGAAATATTGCTGAAGTACATATATTATACATATAAACGAGTATTACAGTGTACATAAATCTAAGTCACGAATTTATAATCTTGTCTTTATTCATGTCATTCACTAAAGTGTAATTATAGAAAAGGATACATGCGTAAAGGAAACGACAACATAATGGTCCAGCAGCTGCCATTCGCACGTGTAACCACTTCAAAGGTGGTTTCGTTTTCTCATATATTTATGTGCAATAAATACCCACGTATATACCCGTAAATACACATGAGTTTATTTGTGTAAGATACATAAATATTTTCCTACACTTGTAAATATAAATACCGTTAGATATACTGTATACATACGTGATTAAGGACACACTAACAAAAATCTAAACATTTAAAGGTATAAATATTTAAACAATACCTGCAAGAATTTCGATTAATATCGAATTAAAAAAGAATAAAATCAAATAAAATATATGTAATATAAACATAAAAAAGTATAAAATAAGGTAAATAAAAATAAAAAAATTATATAAAATAAAATAAAATAAAAAAATATAATAAAATAAAATAAAATAATATAAAATAAAATAAAATAAAATAAAATAAAATAAAACAAAATAAAGCAAAACAAAATTAAATAAACATAAAAAATAGAATTTAAAAGAATTAAAAAATCTTAATTTAATTTTAAGCGGTTTTTTAGTTTAAAGCTTTCTTATATGGAACGGCAAAGACTTCGACTCCAGTCCACTCCGTTGAATCAGTTGATTTCATTGCAGAATATTCATGGCTTAAATTCATATGCAAATAAAGTAGAAGCAGAAGCTGCCTGCCATAAAGTTACCCTCAATACGAAAATCACAAACACACATACATACATATGAAGTGATATGCATACATAAATAAGATTTACTTGGACTGCAAATTGGTGAAGCCATCTGCTGGCTGGCTTGCTTGCATGCCTGTTGTACTAGTAGAATTTTCAAGGTCAGTTGAAATTAATAGTGAAACCAAAAATACAACAATATCAATGTAACATGCATATACATACACATACATATGTATGTATGTACAAAGTAAACTAGCATTGGGTAAATATATGAATCGATAAATCTTAAGTGCAACCACTAAAGTGCTTTCGAAGAAGAATGATTTCAATGCATTTTCATGTAGAAGGAAGAGATTAGAAAAATCAGAAATGGGCTTACAAAGTTAGCTAAGCTACAAGGACATTGCTTGTGAAAGGTTGTAGAGAAATTAAAAAAAAAAATTTGTTTAGCTTAAAAAGCTTTAAGCTTCCGGCATAGGTTTTGTATAAATATGATTATAGAGTAATAGAAAACACAATTTGCTTGCTTACCTTTTAAGGACCAATTTTTCATTAGAGTAGAGTTATCAACAAAATTTCAATAACATTGAGTAACCGTAGCAACTGGTATATATGTATGCCTATCTATCCTTAAAACTTTCACTTGTGAAATTAATTAAAACGCCTTTGTTGCCACAAATAATAAATGTGTTGTCAAACTTAAAGTTATACAAAAAAACTCATTTATTTAAAACTGTTAAAAGAAGCTTTTGCCTGGAATAAAAGAAAGCGCGAGCGAAATAATGAAAAAGAAACTCGCTAAAAGACAGAAGAGATAGAAAGCTTTAATGCAACTATACACGCACATATGTACATACATATGTTTTTATATACGGCTACTGACGTTTAAGCTCGTAAGCATACAAAGAGTGAAAACAGTTAAATATAAAACAAAACTTTTTCCTCTAAAAATAAAGGGCAATTAATTGGGAGAGTATTCAAGGTAGAGTATAGATATATACATATTTCTTAAATACATAAAGAGGTATGATATTGAATTTTTCTTAATTATGGTATGGCTGGCCATAAACTTATTTAAATATTTTCGTAAATCTAATTCAATTAAAATATACGTCCCCGAGCCATATACGAACCTACCGTATAGGATGTCCTCGACTGACTTGTTGATTTTAAGAATATACTCTTTGGCTGCGATCCTATTTTTCTGGATTGGTAATGTACAGCACCTTTCAGACTTTTTAGCAAATGTAATGGAACTTAATTTTACCTTCGGCAGTCTGCTTTATATATATAATTGCCGCTTTGTAACCGCTGAAGCGATTTTTTACAAAGCTTTTTATGCTTTGTGGTGCGGATATTGCTGTTTTCCAACGAATGGAGGGACCTACAGTTTATTTTTCCATGTCAGAAATATGCTCGGAGGGCTTGACATTTTATGCAGAGGAGTGATCGTAATTAGGAAAACTAAACCATTATTTCGTATGTAGGACGAAGCAGGACTAGAACCCTGGGCTTCAGAATGTCAGTACACGCTGCAGTCTGCTTTACCTTTGCCAAAAAAAAACCGCTTTTACATTTTATAATTTTAGTTCCGTTTAACCAGCCCGCCACGAATAAGTGTCCCTCGGCAGTTGCATTGACTGCCGCGTTTCTCGCGAGTGAGCCTGAAGTTTGGTTTTATTGCGTCACCTCTGTACTTCGATCGTTTGATGGCTTCAGGCATTTCAGATAGATGACTTCAACACCAACCAGGTCGC